CTTTTTTGTGGCACTTGAACTGAATGTTTTTCTAGTCCAGGCCCCAGGCTATGCTTGCCTATGCTTTGCTCTCGTGGCACCTTCGTGCAAGGTACTTGAAAGCGATAGCTAAAGTAAATCCAAATCAACGGAGGTCGTAATTCTCCGATGAGAATTTGTTGAACACCGTAAACTCCACGTGTCCCTATTAGTACATTAACTATAAAAACCACTACTAATACTAAATTAATAGAAAAAAAACAATCACTCCTCTTTTGCAACAAAAAATTAACTACATACAAAATACCAAGTTGAATAGCAAAAACGACTGTGTACATCAACATGCAAAATAACTATATTAATATAACCATCAATGTAAGAAATAATGTGAAGTAAATAATGAAATGGTTAATAAGGTAAATAGTTATTTTTCATATTGATGTACATAGCCATTTTTGCTATTCAACTTGGTATTTTGTGTGTAGTTAATTTTTTGTTGCAAAAGAGGCGTGTTTGTTTTTTTCCTATTAATTTAGTATTAGTAGTGGTTTTTAAAATTTTATGCACAAACTTGAAAACATCATTCCTTCAACTTTATAATGAGCGTTAAATCAGAGCCCTATGTTGAAAAGTAACTAAAATATAACGGTTGAAGTGACGTCGTGTCGGCAATTTCCCGTGCGTTTTGACGCTCGTATACGACGAATGTGTGCGACATCGGACGACCGATACGCGTGCAGTATAACTGCTCCCATTGATTTAGAGGCGTTTGATTCGATCATGCGTACGGCACAAGCGCTCGAGCGAGCTAACCTATACCTAAGTTTAAGTTTAAGTTTGAACATTCTCCCGGGAGAGGGGAGTATCGGTACCCCCCTTTAAGGCCCAGCTACGACTTATTGTGTCTTCAGCTATCCCGTAGCCCCGCAATTGGGACTACCGTAGGCGTTACCCGAGGGCTATACATATATCCCCGACTTTCCAACCCGCCCAACTTTTTCTAGGCCCGGGCTACATAACCCATACCTAGTTTAGTTTAGTTTAGTACATTTCTTCCGGGAGGAGGTAGTTTCGATACTTCCCCCCAAGGCCCATCTGTGACGTAAAGTCGGTAGATATCATAACACATACCTAACCGAGACTCATCACTAGTTGTATACGGACGACGGACTAGTCGTCCGAATACGCGTCCAGTGTAACCGTAACCTTTTTTTTTTTTTTT